TATCTATCTATCTATCTATCTGTATATCTGTCTATCTATCTATCTATCTGTCTGTATATCTGTATATCTGTATATCTGTCTATCTATCTATCTTTCTATCTATCTGTCTGTACGAGGGCTAAGAGGTGGATAATGTGGGTTATCCACTAATGTGATGTACTGAGGTGTGATACTGTGATTCTCTCTGGGTGTGTTGTACCTTGACTGTCGTCCTCTCAGACATGGAGTTCCTGGAAGTTCTCCTCGAGGGTCTGAACCGGGTCCTCCTGGTGCGAGGCGGTGGCCGTGAAGTCATCACTATCTACTCCTAATAATAAAATCAAAAACACTCTTAAGCCCCACACTGCACACATGGGCTGTTGCCATGGATACCTGTCACCGGGCATTCTTGGGGGAAGAATCCAAATTGGGTTTTTTTTTTTGAAGGGCAGGGGGGGGGGGTCGTTGGAAGGCTGGACCACTTGCTATTGGCAGATGGTCTGCAGGACCTGAGGGATGAAGGAAACAATTAGCTGGGAATCAGCTGATTGGCTGAGAGACAGCGAGCATAGTGTGAGTCCACGCTGGGCCACAGACCCCCCCTGCACATGGGAGATAAAGCATAGAGACACTTTTAAATCTGAAAACGTTCTTTTCTGTTACATTTTCTTTCCCTCTTGTGTTGTCGAGTTACTGGCACTCACCGTGTAAAAGATAGGCGAAGAAGTGAACGTGTGCTGTTGATATGAACCTCGTAGTCTTTCGTGTTGTCTGGTGTACTTGACCGTGGGAGGTTCGGAGACGTGTGCTGAACCTGGGAGAAAACAAAACATGAGAAAAGTTGTACAGTGGATCTTTGAACTCGGCTCCGAATAAGTAAATACGCACGGAAACGTAGAAAACAATCCTCCAGCTCCCTGCTGCAGAAAGCTCCCTCATTACAGCACATTTTTTATATCAGATACAGTTTGCTGATCTGCGCGGTCGGCGTCACCATTTGTACTTAAATGTTTTCGTTCTCTCATAGCTTCGCAGAAACTCTCCTTCGGTCTGAACCACAGAAGCTGCTGATTAGGTTGTAGCTGTGTAACGTTTGCAGACGCAGGGCGGCTTCTCTAAAGCTGTAGTGTTGTTTGCCTTGTGGATGATTTAGTGAAGGACCAGAAAGAATGACGCTGAACATTGATCTCGATCTGTCAGGGTGGTGGGAGCCTTTTAGATATCAGGTACTGATACTTGATCGTTGGTCATCATTCCCCACCCTCAAGGGATGCTGTTATTTCAATAGGAAAAATAGCCATAGTTCATATTCAAGGAGTCTGTGAGCTTTATAATGCACATGTATATTTATGGTGTCTGAAGTAGGGCTCAGTTGGGAGTGACTATATATATTTTTTTAATCTGAAGGCTGTTTGACAGCAGTAGCTCAGTAAATTGGTAGACTCACAGATTCAATCTCAAAATTGCCTCCTGAAATGTTGGCATGTAATTAAAAGCATACTTTTTAAAAAGTGTAAAAGCACAAAGTGACACATGTGAATTAGCGTAATTCATATTTCTTTTAACGTGGTTACATCCCATATTAAACTAAGAGCGACGTAGTTACAGCACTGTTGACTTTGCACTACCAACCTTTCAGCACTTGTCCTCTTCACTTGTTGCTAACAGTGACACTTTCTATTGGTCGACGCAGCGCTATATTTAGGGAGGGTAGTGTCGAGCAAGTCGGAACTATTTAATGCTCAATGTTTTTATAATGTTTTACCAAACAGAAATCTTTAGGTTTAGAGTCTCAGACTGAGCAGATGAAATGTTACGAGCACATGTAGGAGAAAAAGTGCCAAAATGAAGGAAACTGTGGAAGTATTACAAATGCTTCATCTAGTTTGGACAAACGGTAGCTACTGCTTCTTACACTAACAAACGTTCATATTTGGAACCTCTGACATTAGAGCACAGTCATTTATAATAGAGCTCATAATTTCTACCAGTACAAATCCACTAATAAATGAGTAAACGCAGCAAACGTTGCAACCTGCTGCATAAAGGTTCACTTTTAGTCCGGGAATAAACAAAGAAAAACAGAATCAACCCTTTTAACAAAACGTACCTCCACAGTTTCTTTTCAAAAACTAGCTGTGCAGTATTTTGTAAAGCAGAAACTCATATTTCCCTGCAGCTCTTTGTGGGGGAGGTGTGAACTTCTGACACGTCAGTTATGCATCTGTGTTTTGTTGTGTTTTATCCAGTTGTTCGATGTATGCCTATGTAACTATATAGCCATGGTCTCTGTAGTGTTTGTTACATTATAACTGATCTTCTGTTACTTTAAGTGTTAATTTTTCTTCAGTGTGGTTTTTCTGGACAGAGGCAGAGAGAGGGAGGCATGTGTGAAGACGGCAGCAGTTTGTGTGTTGTTGTTCCAAATCGCCAGAAACACATCGTGCACGACACACACACACACACGCGACTAAAGACTACTCGTGATACTGTGAAAGTATTAAAAAACATGAGGGAGGCAACCAGGGTCAAACGAGTGGTTTCGATAATTATCACTCACAATCTGAAGTTTAGTTTCTTTCCATTTTAACCACAAAATGCACAAACATAGTTGTGCATAAATAAATCAAAAATTGTTGTTTTATTCTATTTGAAAAGTTGTAAAGATAAATTATTAAACTGACTTCTTTGTTTTTAATTTGGTTACTGAGCTACATAGCGGTAGCTGTACATAAACGAGACACAAGCTACATAAAACCTTATACAGAAGATGCTAAATAAAAAACGATCTGAAGGAAAATAGGATTGTCGGCTGTGTGTGTGTGTGTGCGTGCGTGCGTGTGTTTCGCAGCTCTAATGGTTGAGGTGACTGGAGAATGTTATCTACCTCAAGTTGTCGCTGAGCCTCGGCTCAAGACAGAAACTTGTTCAGTCCCATCTCGTATATGGATTCATGAAAGGAAAAATAAGGCCTCTGCTATGTGAGAGGGTCAGCAGAGTGTGTGTGTGTTTCTGTGTGTGTACGTGTGATTCTGTGTGTGTGTGTGTGAGTGTTCCTGTGAATACCATTGTGAGGTGAAGCTGTTTGTGTGTGTGCGTGTGTTTCTGCTGATGTCTGGTTACGCTGGCGGGCCTCACAGGCTGGAGCAGGAAGTCACATGTGGGCACACATATAGATGAAGGTAGCCCTGTTAATTGTATTTGTGCCTCTCTGAGTAATTATTAAAAGTGCTGAAATAAACAAAACACGCATCTTTGTCCTGATTTTTTTCGCTCAATGGAGAAACACTAGTTGACGCCTCGGGATTAAAGAAGCAACATGATTTCATAATTATTCATAAATTGGGGTTTATTTTGTTTTTTAAAAAGGCGCATTATATCAACAAGGACATTTCAGTGTATATTATTTCCCTTTGTGGGGAAAGTGTTATATATGATGTCATTTGTCCATAAATAATCGTTTGGCATTTTAGGAAGGTTTTGGAAAAAGCTGTGATAACTGATTCCATTCAGGGGCGGATCAAGAGCAGGGCAAGGGGGCCACTGACCCCAGCTGAGGTGCCCCAGAGGTATCCCTGTCGTGTTTTCAAAAAACAAATTCACTAACAAAAATGATCACAGTCTGTTAAGATCTTTTATTTTCTAAGCTTTAAAGTTCACATTGTGCTTAAACACAACAACAAGAACAAATTTCAATTTATATTCCATGATGTGTGGATTTGCATTTTAAGAGATTTGAACAGACAACAAATCTGTAAACAGGTTTTCTAATGCTATTATAGACAGAGGTGAATGTACAGATAAAGAGACAGCAGTCATCCACTAGAGGGCAGCCTCACCATGTCTTGGTGCTGCACCTTTACCACAGTGGAAATGTTTTTAGATATAATCTCTGATCCAGATGAGACATGTCTATTTTTCTGTATCAGATAACTTTCTGAGTTAAGTGCATGATAATGATGGCCCACACTGGTCCGCCCACATCGTAGCTCACATTGCAGCCGGCCTGTCAGATTATCATCCTGCCCCTCTGCTGCGGGAGGTGTCGGCCTCCTCCTGCTGCCCCGTCTGCACCCCTGCTATCTAACCGGACAATCAGCCATCCCGCACCGGCAGCCCTGACCCCGACCGGTCACATGGCCCCTGCCCCACACAAACAACCCATACCAACATCTGATTCAATTAGAGCGTGACCATGGCACAGGAGAAGTGGGACAGCAGAGCAGAGACTGAACATGATGTTTACAGAATCATACATTTATCTTTCATACGTTCATTCCAGATACGCTGCTGTCTTCATTCTCTTACATACATGCACATGCATAGTGCAGAGACAAGTATTGACTTTGTCGTAAAGATAAAAGTTTCCTCAGAGCTGGTGTCGCTGTAACATGAGGAGGAAATTATGCATAGCTGATTGCAACATGAACCCTGTCTGTGTTCAAAAAGACCTGAGCTGCTGCTCTCTTCAATTTCAGCAGGAAAGAGCAGGTTTTATTAATATTCAATTTTTCCCGTCCTCAACGCTTTGAAAGGAACTCCCCATGAGCTTTGGCCTTGAATGACCTTTGACCTCCTACAGCGGTTGCTTTTCTCTGCTTTCCCCGCACAACCTTTGCAGTGCAAAGTCGTGTGTCTCCTCTGTTTGCCCTGTACATTGTTGACTGAATCGATAGCAGAGGTGATGTGGACAGCAGGATGTGACAGCTGTGTCCAAACTGTAGAAATGTGATGAGAGACACAAAGAAATATCACTGATGTCGCTCTGCTCTCACTCCGTGGACATAAATAACCTTTCAATCGTATGCGAGTGCTCGTATTGATTCAGGCTACGACGCTCAGCTTTATCCATCCGTTGAAATGTTAATTAATCCCATTAGCTGTAGGTCAGCTGAGGTCCTGCTGGGCTGCATTAGGGACCGAACATGTGGACTCAAGGACGCAGGAATGATCTAATAAAAAGGTTTTTATTTACTGGAGAGAATTAGAAAATTCAAAGCAAATGTGAATACTGAACAATTGACCAAAATACACTGTTAATAAGTAAAAATAATAAAGTAATAAAGTAGTAAGCAGTAATAATCAGTAGTAATATATGATAACAGCAAATAAAAAACTACACTGACAGTTTGCCAAGACCAACAAGATGAACTCGTAAACATACCTGTAAAATAAAGGGCAGGGCAGTGGTGCAGTCCAGGGTCATGCTGTAGCTTCATATGAAACCTTAATGTTAACTCTTGGAGGAAAGATCAGGGCGTCACAAGATTCAGGAGGATTCAGTCCTATTATGACTAAAAACTAAAAGTGTGTGTGCTCTACATTTTAAAATAATGTTTAATTGTGTTGGCTGTTCAATTATAGGGCAGGAAATTAAAGTACAGTGATGGGACATGATGTTATTAATATTCTCAGTCTGCCGGGTGCAGCCATCTCTTCATTGTATATGATCCTGCTGCAGAGTGAAAAGAAGCTGTCTGAGCTTCAACCTGAACTATCACGTCTCCTCCACCTGTTGTGTAGCGTCCTGTCAGTGTGTGTTACATGGTTCTGGAGGGTAAACGGGTGAATTGATGAAGTAGATGTGACAAAAACATTCAACAGCAACAAAACCACCATTATTCCAATACAGTAACAACAGAAAGTGTCCTGACTGAGAATAGTGTAGCTTCTCTGTTGTTTTTAACTTCTGGAGCATGTGTTTGTCTGAAATAAACCAGTTAGAGTGGCTCGAATGTTTGTAGTGGATGGATGATGAGATAACTCACAGCATCACATCTTCAGAAGATGCTCCATCAGTGCAGCTTCCTCTGGTCCCACTGCTTCACTGTGTCCAGGAGCTGAAGGGTTAAAGTGGGAGGAGAGCTCAGAGAGAGGGAGAAACACAACAGCACCGGAAATACTACAAGGTCCACATTAAAAGTACATAACATGTTGACCTACTACTACTACTACATGTACTGCAACCACTACTACTACTAATACTAGTAATCAGATGGATAGATAGATGGATCTTTATTATCTATCATTAATAACCACATGGTGCTGACACATGAGAGGGACTATTAATAATATCAGTAACAGGAAGTTATAAAGAATAATGAAGTCCCTTCCCCATAATCCTAAAATTACTTCTAATGATTATCAGTTCATCACTAATAACACAAAGAAAAACCATTGTGCCCATATACCAAAAATATCTGATCATGCAAATGCCAAATACAACATGCTTTTGATTTTCTTGTGTAAAGTATATATAAATAAAAACCTGCATTTAATATTAATAATAATAATGATAAAAATAATAAGAATTTAAATTAAATTCGGTATATATTTAAAATCTGTAGGCTACATGTGACTGTATTTCATCTGTTTCCTATCTATATAGAAGATATCATATATAAATGTAACCTAAATATAGATTTGCTATCCTTCACTTTATGTAGTGTCCGCTCTTATTTTGGAGCTCCTACGGCGGTCGCACTTCCTGTGTCGGTGTGCAGCTTGACAGCGGCTCTCGCAGTCTCAGTATCGGGCTTCAGCAGAATTTCACCGCGGCCGCTGCAGCTGATCCTCCGGGGAGCAGGCAGCACGACCCGGCGGAGCTTGTGTCCTCTCGCCGCCTCATGAAGCTCATCTCCGGATGTGCGGTTGTGTCTGGACGGAAGCTCCGGGTGCAGAAGGGATAAGTGACCGTGGAGGAGGTGACGCGCTCCGTCACTGCCTGGCGCAGTCGGTGCGCTGACCGCTGTCAGAGGAGGTATGCCGCATTTACGTTCCAGATTCTAACGCTTCAGCGGCTCCACATCTGGTTCTGGGGGATATTCAGCGCGGGGACAACGGCAGTAAATGCCCGCTCGTCGAGCCGGAGCGTCGGGAGAATGCAGCAGAGCGGCTGCCTGGCTGCAGGTGGATGGTTCCCAGCTGCTGCCGCCGCAGGTCCGGCTCCAGCTCTGAGCTCCAGCTGAAACCCACCACACCGGCAGAACCACACGAGTAAAGCCGAGCCATGCTGCCCGGGGTCGGGGTGTTCGGCACCAGCCTGACCGCCAGAGTGATCATCCCGCTGCTGAAGAACGAGGGCTTCGCCGTCAAAGCGCTGTGGGGCCGGACGCAGGAGGAGGCGGAGGAGCTGGCCAAGGAGATGAACGTGCCCTTCTACACCAACCGGATCGACGACGTGCTGCTGCACCAGGACGTGGACCTGGTCTGCATCAACCTGCCGCCGCCGCTGACCAGGCAGATCGCGGTTAAAACACTGGGTGAGTGGCTCCTCTGCTGCTGCTGCTGCTGCTGCTGCTGCAGGGAGGAGGGATGCTGCGGCCCTGTGGAGAGAGGGTGGATGCTGGGGAGGAGGCAGCACACTGGTCCCAGGTCAACCCTGTGAGGTTATTGTCCTGGAGGGAAGCGGTGATAACGGCTGACTTCTGTCATCTATAGCTGTCCTTTCAGCATCCTTGTTCTAATGATGCAGCTTCCATCTTGTTCTTTATGTGAGGCTGTTTCTGGCCTCAACAGGAAGTCAGGTCCTCTTGTGCATTAAGGACTTACAGGTGTAGGACTGTGCAGTGAGAAACAAGGTGTATGATTGACAGAATTCCAAGTTTGACCTTTTGACCTTTATTGACAGGATGCATGAGTCATGTGCCACATGACTCATAAAATACAAACTCATACAAAGTCATGTTTCAGCTCAGTTCGACACGTCCGACCCGTGTGATGGTGGAAGTGATGCACCGTGATACTGGGTTGAATGAGTTGCGGGGGACTCCCCTAAAAACAAAGTGCGAGCTGAACCTGTGTGAGTGAGAGAGGCCTGGATGCAGCAACAGGGAGACGCACAAAGAGAGCTTGTTCCCGTTTAAATCTGGAGCGACGCAGCTTATTTTGGAGATCACATTTGGGAGCCGTGGAGCTGCTGTGAGAGAGCGGTGGCTGAGCTCCACTCCACACTGGCTTTATTTACACCACAGGGCTCGGCTGGAAGTGAGCTGTAACAGGTCAAAGCAAACATCCAGGGAGGAAATAGATATTATAAATATTTTATCATTGAAACGTGTATTTCATCTTCGCCGCAAAACTATTTGGCTGCATTACAGAAGTGGAACAAATTACCATGCAAAGTTGGACAACAGTTCCAATTTCAGTTCTGATGATATTAAATTTTGAAGCGACAAATCATCACATGTGATCAGCATTTATTGTTATATTCTAATTATGATATGATCATTCCAGCACAGGAATACATAACTATTAGATTTACATTGCACCAAATATATAGTGAATACTAGAAATCTCCCAACAGTATCCGTAACGAGTAGAATGCATGTTTTACACTTTCTTTTGAGAGTACGGAGTACTCATAAGAGAAAAGAGAGGAGAGAATGCCAAATATTCCTGCGTGGACCTGAACCTGAGATGTTGCAATGCATCATGGTCAGTGACGTAACCAACGTGGGCCACAAGGGCAAACAAATGAATACATATATATGAAAATGACATTTTTCCTTTTATGTCAGATGACTATATTCATTGATGCCAGGATTTAAACAAATAAGAGAAAGAAACAAACCCTAGCGTTAGCTTCCCGGGACTCTCCAGCTGTCAGTCAGTCAGACTGACAGGATGCAGGATGAGAGTTGACACGTCTTCAACAACCTCCAGTAAGTCCAGCTGCTTTCATACAGTTAGAATAACATGGCCAGACATGAAATAGTAAAACATTAACCCTTAGAATAATCTAATGATCTGGCTGATACCTAATTTAAGAGATTTAAGTAGATCTGCAATCGCTATAAGATGGATTCAAAGTCCAACAACACCTGAGGTATGTAGAATGACTTCATTCGGACACCAATACGTTCCTACACCACCTGATAAAAGCCACAAACTAAAACCTGCTGGTTTGATGAATGTGAGTAAGCTTCACCAGGAGTTCTTTAAATGAGCACCTGGGGTTTGGACCCTTCTCTAGTCCATGCACTTTGGAAAGTGGGTGACGTTGAGCGGGAAATTCCTTCTCTGCTTCTTATCACCTCAGGTAAAACCATTTCCTGATGTTACAACACTAATACATGATTTAGTAGATGTTCTAAAGCTGTGGACCATGGAGTTTGAGGTGATTGATTCATCATCGACATGCTTTCTCCAGAGACAATGGTCCGAACAAGTGAATGGATAAGTGAGTGTGTGGCTTTAATGCCACCAGCCATGAGTGTTTGTTAAAAGAAGAGCTGTGTGAGGGTGAGGGACATTATATTGACGTGAACGTGAATTTCAATTTGACTGTGGCTGGCTGTCTGGGCATGTGGCCGCATGACACTGAGCATGTGATGCTTTTAAAAATGTTTTGGATCCACAAAATCAACTGCTGACTAGAACCTGGCTGAAACGGATGTGTTGATTTAGATTTTGGCGTAAAGCAAAGAGAGATAAAGCTGCTGTCGCTTTCATGCTCACTCTGCTGCAGTGTTTGCTTTCTGGCTTCAGTGAGTTCTGCGGAGTGACAGTCTGAGCTGAGGAGAGGAGTGAAGTACAGTTGCCTGTTTATAATGTTAATATAAAGGCTTGATCACAGGCTACACTAACATGTGCACAGAATCCCTTTACTGCTAGTTAGGATGTAAATTCCTCTCCTCATCCTGTCCACGCTCATGCATTTAACAATGTGCGGTGCTGAGCCCGAGTCTGATTCGCTGGCGATCATGTCCCAGTGAACTTGGTTCTTCACGCCGGCGGCTGCAGACTTTTCTTCCTTTCTTTTCCTCTGGGCTCATTTCCTCACTGCCTCATTGTGTGAGTGCCGCCTGTTCCTTCCCACCCACCTCTCTTCCTCCGCCAAGTCGCCGTCCAGTCTTCTTTGCATTCTGTTGGGTGAAGAACAGAAAACACTGTTTGCAAATACAGTTGAGCTTGGGCCTACAATTTGGCTGCCAATCATTTAAACAGATTGTTGTGGGTACTGTCAATATTCTAATGATGTACAACTTTGCATGGGGATTATTCTCCAATTAATCAATAATAGTTGAGCTAGTAAAGAATCAGAAAACTGTAAAGAAATATTTGTCACAAATTTTCAAGAGCTCGAGATGATGTCTTTAAAAAGCTTTCCTTATCTGACAAACAGCCAAAAACTCAAATGGCCAAGAGAGAAAACAGAGAGCCTGGGACAGCAGGGAATATTTGGCTTTTTATTGGATAAAATAATTTAATGATAAATCAACTAACTCAGCTTTATAAGGATTCGCATGTTGACATCAAACTGTAGAGCAGCCCGAGGCTAAAAAATTAAAAATAGCTTGAGTATAAAAAAAAAAGAATATATCCACATGAGAGTAGATGAATGAAATAAATGCACAAAATTGGTGCCATGCTGAGTTTAAGTGCACGTACTGTCAAAGTATCAGAGTACTCAGTAGAGCACATACTGTACCTCCAGCCAGGCCCTACACTCCCCTTTAATTCAATACAACCACACCAAATTACACACTCATAGATCCATACCACATCATTTCACCAGGTTTCATAGGAATCCATGTTGCAGTAACTAACAAACAGGCACAAAACAGTAGCCTCCTTGACAGAGGTGATAAACTACCAGCTTCAGTCAGTTATGGCACCTGAATAATAACATGTGCTGCACTCTGCGCTTCATGGTGATGTCACCACTGTTCTTACCACTGTCTGTAGTCTGATGATGTCATTTTCTGGCCTAATATAATAAGCTGTAGATTGTCTGTTTAGCCACTCGGACACATCTTGGAAAATGTGTTCTGCAGAATATTTGTTTTAATCTTGACCTTTGACCTATCAGCTCCAAAAGTGAATCCTTTGGAGAAACACTCCCAAGAAATATCTCCACCACTCCTCCTAGTTACAGTGTGATGGAGCACACACTAAAACTCATAGTGGACACACAATTGTTTTGTTGTTTAAGACGTAAAATACATCTGCAACTAACCGTTGAAATGATCCCCATTATCCGCCAACCATATTTCAGCATCTTGCATCACTGTAATGGATGGAAAGTGTTACACACTCGGTAACTAGTCACTGACAGGAGCAGCCGGCCTGTGTGAGACTGTGGAGCTTTAACTTCCTCTTGTGTCAGGGTGTGGATGCTGATAGTAATGTGCCTGTGGCTGCTTAACTCATGAACTGAGCTGATGAGTGTGGTCAGACCTCCTCAATGTGAACTTTGCTATTGGAGATGTTGTTTCTTCTGTTTTCTGTCTTCCTTTGTGTTGTTAGCCCACATTCATCCTACATAGTGCTCCCTGCAGGGTTAGACTTTATACATTGATTGACTTGGAGTCGCATGGAACAAACTCAGCTAATGGATGTTTAGATTTATAATGTTAAATATAATGTTCTGTAATGTTATAATGGTCTTTGTCAGTGTAATATCATTATCTTCCTACCAACATCAACAAGTTCAGGCACGGTCCTCGACAAAAGTTTCGAAAAAGCAAAATGAACGTCCTCATCACTCAAACATTATATCGTCGTCATATCAACTCAGTTTCTGGAGACACCAGTAAAGCTTCCACATCGTTTTCTTCCTCTGTTGTCTGATGTGGTCGCCTCTCTCCAAAAAACTGTTTTCACTCTGCAAACGATCCAAACCATGATTCAGTTTGATCCAGACCGAGACCTCCTCTTGTAGTCAGTGTTTTGGTCCGAACTGTGGTTTGATGCAACTTTTACACGTGTTATTTTAGTTCTGGATAAATATTTCCCTTTTATGATTTTGCCTTGACTTCGGAGCCTTGTAGACATTTGTGTCCAGGGTCCCATTGTCTCATATGACTGTGTATAGATGGCAGCTGTTTATTGATATGCTATTATAAACAAAATGTAGTTACCGAATGTAGGATACGTGTTGTATTTATTTTACAAAACATGCCTCCACTTCTTCCAATCAACCCAAACCTGCCCCTGGTGGGATGACTGTAGATCCAGAACTACGAGGAAACTGAAAAAACCACTGGTACAAGTCAATAAAACGCTGCACGTGTTCTTCAGGTTTTACCCGAGTAACCTTGTCCCCTCATTCCATCACACATAGTCTCATTACAGCAAACCAGTCGGTCTTGTTGAGCAGCCTCTCTCCTTCCAGAAAGATGTCATTCACTCTTTTTCCTCCTTTCACTTCCTTACTACTGTGGCGTTCCTGAGGCATCTGATGTCACTCAGGCTTTCTCAGGGTGTTGTGAGGCTGTAGCAACTTCCCACAGAAAAAACACACAAACGCATCGTTCTG